CAACCTTTAACAGAGAGAATGTATCTCAGTACACGTTGGTCAAGCCGGCGTTCAAATCGGTAACGCATGTTGGGAGTTGTACTGCCTTGAACATGGAATCCAGCCCGATGGCCTAATGCCTTCTGATCAATCRCTCGGCGGAAGCGATGACTCATTCTGTACGTTCTTCAGCGAGACAGGAGGAGGAAAGCACGTACCTCGAGCTGTTTTCGTAGACTTGGAGCCTACAGTAGTCGGTAAGTTAATCATTCGGAAAAACACATGAAAATAGTGGTTTTAAAACTATGCATAAAAAATATATAAAAGCGAAATTACATTAAATAAATATATATTTACTCTTGTTAGAAAAGCAAGGGAATGAAGAGTTTTGAGGTCGAATATTTACCATTTGGTTGGCCAAACCTGCATGCCAAAAATTTAATGTTTTCAAAATATTAACTTGTGCTACCTGTTTATGTGTATAAGTTTCAGTGGTCTGTTCTCTCTGCTACTCGTAATAAGAAATCAAAGTTCCATTAAGGAGTTCACTTTGTTAGAGAGTGTGTAATAGAAGAGTTTTTGAATAGATCTGTTGGTATCAAATGACCCAGGTAAAACAGTCACTATCAAATCATTCCCCCCGACCTGTCTGACTAAATAAAGACTATCATTGCCTTGCCGTAAAACATGGTATTTTATCAGTAGCGCAGTACGTTTGTAGTGGAGTGGAGTGAATTTTTATTTTGCTTCATTATATCCACAGATGAAGTCCGTACGGGTCGTTATCGCCAGCTCTTCCATCCCGACCAGTTACTGACGGGCAAAGAAGATGCCGCTAACAATTATGCTCGCGGGCATTATACTGTAGGCCGAGAAGTAATTGAGCTTGCGCTGGGCAGAATCAGGAAATTGGTAATAAAGAATTTTCTACTGAGTTTTTTTCTACTTTTACTACTTTCTACTGCACTGGAAATCTTGTAAAATCTTTTAYATAGTATCATTATCATTAATCTTTATTTTCAAACGTTTCATCTGCCTCACGCTCATGCGTTTTAATGCTCGACAGGCAGACCAATGTACTGGTCTTCAAGGATTTCTCATCTTCCATTCATTTGGTGGAGGCACCGGTTCCGGATTTTCCTCTCTTCTTATGGAGCGTCTGTCCGTCGACTATGGCAAGAAATCAAAGCTTGAGTTTGCAATCTATCCAGCTCCGCAAATCTCCACTGCTGTTGTGGAGCCATACAACTCGGTCCTGACCACCCACACCACACTCGGGCACTCTGACTGCGCATTCATGGTTGACAACGAGGCTATTTTTGATATCTGTCGTCGCAACCTCGATATTGAAAGACCTTCTTATAAGAATTTGAACCGTCTGATTGGCCAGATCGTGTCGTCCATCACGGCTTCTTTACGCTTCGATGGTGCTCTGAATGTGGACTTGACTGAGTTCCAGACCAACTTGGTACCCTACCCACGTATCCACTTCCCCTTGGCCACCTACGCCCCTGTCATCTCTGCAGAGAAGGCTTATCATGAGCAGTTGAGCGTAGCGGAGATCACCAATGCCTGCTTTGAGCC